TCACAGCTAGGACACACGTGTGGCATAGCATTGGAGCTCTGAACCTGATACCAATCAGAGAATGCTACCTTCAATTATTCTGGCACAAGATCAAGAACGTTTTTGATAGGACGGCCTAGAATGGGGTATAAAAGACAACTGCCACTGGCTTCATGGCCACTGCCTTCTTTTTTTCTCAGAAGGCCTCTCTGCATGCAGGGCATATTACACTCATTCTGAAGAGTATTTCTTTTCAGACCACTTCTCCCTTCTTTTCTTACCTTTAATAAGTGTAAAAGTCACTCTGTTGTTTCCTGTCCAGTTCTTTGTTCAGGGCAACAAGACCCTAGGAAGGATCCCTGGGAGGAGTCCACAGCACTCCAGAACCCTGGTAACAACTCGAGGTCCTTTTCAAAGTCATCTTCATAGTCTCTACTTTCTTTTCTTTTCTTTTTTGATACCGGGATCAAACTCGGGTCCTTGCGCTTGTGTAGCAGGAGGCAAAACCACTATGCTAAATCCCTGGCCCTCTACTTTCTTTTAAATCAGTATCTTGATCAGTATAATTTTCCCTTTGTTAAAGAATAATGCTATATTACAGTGACACCTGCATAGCCATGTTTATAGTAGCACAATTCATAATAGCCAAATCTTGGAAGTGGCCTATATGCCCATCAGCAAATGAATGGATAAAGAAAGTGTGGTATTTATGTACAATGGAGTACTATTCTGCCATAATAAAGGATAAGCTCGAGTCATTGATAGGAAAACAGATGCACCATGAGACCACAATGTTAAGTGAAATAAATCAAACATACAGCTTAAATATCACCCAGTTTCTCTTATATGAGAAACCCAAAATATAAATAAATTAAAGAGCAAAACAAAAGATAGAAAATAGAAAGTAGGGAGATAAGATCATTTCAAAGGGGAAGGGAATCAAGAAATGGAGGGATGGGGGGGATAAGGGATAAAAAAAGGAATTGGCATGGGTTATGTATATGTACCAACTCCACACAAGAAATGTAAATGTTATGTACTCCCAACTTGTAAAAAAAAAGAAAAAAAAGAAAGGGGATCAAGATATCAGGGGAGGGGAGGGAGGGAAGGGAAAGGGAATGGAAGAAGGAATGAAGATGCTAAGTAGATGTACCACCTCCACACAAGGAATGTGAACATTATGTACTGCACACATGTACTAATAACTAAAAAAAAGTATCTTTTTTTGTACTAGGGATCAAACTCAGGACCTTGAAGTTGCGAGGCAGGTGGCAGAACCACTGAGCTAAATCCCTGGCTTTTTTTGGTCTTTTGAGACAGAGTCTTACTATGTAGTTCAGGTCAGTCTTGAACTCACTATGTAGCCCAGGCTGGCCTCAAACTCACAGCGATCCTCCTGCCTCAGCCTCCCAAGTGCTGGGATTATAGGTGTGTGCCACCACTCCCAGCTCAAATAACTATAGGTGTGTGGATGCAGCAGTGGGGGGGGTCACAGAGATGTTGGGGGGAGCCCGCCTTTTCTCTTCCTAATCTCTGACCAGGTGGCAAAGGAGACCCCAGTGCTGCCATGACAACAGCAGTCTCTGTGTCCTCCATCTGGGCCTCCCCCACCTCCCTGTGGAGGTGCAAATCAAGATATTCAATTTTATTACATTTTTTTCAAAGATACACCTTTTGGTTTCGTTGGTTTACTACACTGTTTGTTTCCTATTTCCTATTTCTTGTTCTCACCTTCACTGTTTTCTTTTTTTGTGTATTGTGGGTTTCAGTTGTTCTTTCTAGTTTCTTAATATGGATGCTTAGATGGTGCTTTTAGACCCTCCTTCTTCCTCTTAGACTTGGCTTCACCTACTCTGTAAATGTCAGTTTGTCTTTTTCTTTGCTGTCCTAATTTTTCTGTCTGTTCCTCGGAGGGCACTGTGCCTTATCGTTAGATTGTCAAAACTGTTTGCAACTATAACCTTTGGAGCCACTTAAAACCAATACAATCTGGATTTTTAGGGAATTTTACTAACTTGACAACTGAAGCTGACTATGTGATAGGCTTGAGCATTTGGCTGAATGTTCTAGGGATGGAGGTCTGGGTTTTGTATCTTCAATCTCTTGCTCCTACTTGAGGGGAACTCCTGCTGCACAGGCCTCTCACGGCCCCGCCCCTTCCCTCCCTCCCCTCCCTATCTCTTCCAATCT